CCTCAAAAGAAATCCCATTAACAGTCATTTCCATTTCCCCACAAATCCAGTAGCTCTAGGCAACCACTAATCTATTTTCCGTTTCTATGTATTTTCCTATTCTAGACATTTCATACAAATGAAATCATACAATATGTGATTATTTGCGACTGATTTCTTTCACTTTTCAACGCTTCGGGAGGGCTGGCATTCCTGACGGTGGTGGTGGTGGAGGACCATAAGGTGTTGGGGATTGAACTCAGGGCTCCTACATACAAAGCATGGGTGAGAGCAATAGTACAGCAAATAGAACGTTTTCCCGACATGTGGCCAACCAGGGTTCAGTCCCTGGCACCCCGTATGGTCGCCTGAGCCAATCAGCTGCGTGTGGGCTAAAAACAAATCAACAAAAGAATGCATGCACCTTAACCATTTATAATCTCTCTGGCTGACCCCACTTTTCTGGTCTTGATAAGAAGGACACATACTCTTCTTTAGTCTTTGTAGTTTGTGGTTTGTTTGTTTATGTGCAGGTGTCATACCCAGCAGTGTTCAGGGATTACTCTTAGCTCCGTGCTCAAGAGTAATAGTGGATGCCCCCCCCCCAAAAAAAAAAGAAGTATGGTGTATTTTTGGTGGGTTTGGGGCACCATATTAGGTGTAGGGGATTGAACTGGGACTAGGTGAATGCAAGGTTACTTACCCACTATACTATCTCTTTGGCCCAGGTAAAAGACATATTGTAAAGATTCTTGGAAGAGGTTTGAACAGACTTAGGAGGGGAGTGTTGGGAGGAACCTGGGGACTTCGGTGCTGGGAAATGTCGGAACATTTTCTGACTAAAACCCAATCATGAACAACTTTGTAACTGTATATCTCACTGTGATTCATTTAAAAAAATAAATTAATTAAGATATAAAAAAAACAGATCCAGGAAAGGAAGTCTAGCTGCTAAATAAATAAAACCTAAAAAATCTGGAGCTGGAGAAATAGCATGAAAGGTAGGGCATTTGCCTTGCACACAGTTGACCTGGGTTTGATTCCTATATGGTCCCCCTGAGCACTGCCAGGAGTAATACTTGAGTGTATGAGCCTGTGCATCTCCAGGTGTGACCCAAAAAGCAAAACAACAACAACAACAACAAAAACCCTAAAATATCCCTCTTTAGGAACATTGTCTGACAGAAACCTGATCATGAACAACTTTGTAATTGTTAATTGTGTATCTCACAGTGATTTAATAAAAAACAAACAAAAAAACCCAACATTAGATCAAACCTCTCTTCACACTTAAAGAAATAGGGGGACATAAGAGGAAAAACTATATTCCCATATGTACATAGTCCCATGAGGGTGAGACTGGGTGCAATCTGCAGTCTGCTGAACTTTGGTTCTATCTACTTTTCATGTTGTCACACTCCCTTTTGATCTTCCACACACACACACACACACACACACACACACCCCAGCAGTACCACCACTTTTCAACCATCATTTGTAAGTATGTGACCTGCAAATAGCTTTGGAGACACAGTTTGAGAATCAGCTGGGCCAGATTCAGACTTTCATGGGCCCCAGTCTTGAAGTGTGGTCATCCATGGACGAGCAATGTTGGCACCAGCTCGGGCTTTGCACCACAGCTCAGTTTTCTAAGCCCCGATTCTGAAAAGTGACCACTCACGAATGAACAGTATTACCACCAGTTCCCAGAATGTCACTCCCAGAGGAACACAAGAATGGCAATGCTGTTAGAAGTTAGAGGCTGCTATTTCCACAAGAGGAACTGTTCTGTTCTTGACTTACATTGAATGTTTATTTGGAGTGGCTGGGGGAGAGTGTGTGCAAGAAGAGACCAGAAGACAACATGGGGGAGTAGATTGAAGTCTTTGGGATTGCCCCTGGAGGGAACCTAGTCAATGGTTAAGGGGCACCGTGGGAACCCCTTTATGCCTCCAGCACTGATGAGACTGTATGGAGAATAGGAGAAAAAGGTCAGGCTGAGGAAAAGACTCCATGTTAGGGGAGTCTCTGACTCTAGGTTGAGGTATTCAATGATCTTTTTGTTGTTATTTGCTTTTTTTTTTGCCACATCTGGCAGTGCTCCAGGCTTCTCTGCATTCAGGGATCACTCTGAATGGGGCTCAGGGGACCATATGTGGTGCCAGGGATTAAACCAGGGTCAGCCAAATGCAAGTCAAGTGCCCTTCCCACTGTACTAGCTGTCAGGTAGTCTCTGGCCTTTTGGCTATTCCCAGGACTCCCCTATTTTGTAGGTATTGCAGAAAGGCAGCCAGACTGCTGCAAAAGGGCAAGAAAAAGACATATTTCATAGACAGAACATTTTCTGAGGAGCTGGGAACATTCAGTGATAGAATGCATGCTTTGCATGAGTGAAGCCCTGGGTTTGGTTCCTGGAACTAACCAACCATCCAACAAAACCAAAACAAACAAAAAGTAGTATCTGCAGCTGAGAATGAGACTGAGAGCAAGATGGGAGACATAAACCTAGGACAGGAGGATGACAAACTGGTAAATGGAAGCCTCAACCTTAATATCCTTGGTGTTTCCCAAGTGGGTGGCCCGATCTTTCAGGATGCTCTAGAACCATGGTGGGGAGGGAAGCAGTCATCTCTTGTACTGTTTGGGGGTGACTTCTGTTTGTTGCTTAAAGAAGATAGATTTTCAGAGGGATGCTGAGAGATTTTTTTTTTTTTTCGGAAAAGGGGAAGGTAGGCCAGATTCCTGATCCCTTTGAAAATGAGTCGAAGGCAACAATGCCCCAGGGTTGCCACCCTCAAACGCCTCCTCTGGCTCCTGAACGACCATGATCCCAGAGGCACACAAACCAATCTCAGAACCCAGGGGCTTTTGGCATTAATTCCTCTAGGCTTATTACTAAAATATCAGAAATCTGAATTCGCGTGGCCGCTATTGCAGCCACACATCATATGCTCTTCATAATCAGCAATAGAAAACAAATGATCTAATGTTGAATGTGACCAGCGGGGAGAGAGAGAGAGAGAGAGAGAGAGAGCGAGAGAGAGAGAGAGAGAGAGAGAGAGAGTAAAGTGGAAATCTGCCACACAGGCGGGGGGGTGGGTAGAAGGGGGGTTATACTGGGGTTCTTGGTGGTGGAAAATGTGCACTGGTGAAGAGACGGGTGTTTGATCAGTGTATGACCGACTGAGACTTGAACTGAAAGGCTCTGTGACTGTTCTCACGGTGATTCAATAAACACAGTAACAACAAGTCTCATGATGGAGACGTTACTGGGTCCGCTTGAGCAAAATAAATTTAAAAAAAAAAAGAAGAAAGGTTTTGTGACTGTTCCCATAGTGATTCAATAAATAAACTAAAAAAAAAAAGAAGAAAAGAAAAGAAAATGAGTCGAAGGCAAGCCTTAGCACCAAGCTCCCAGCCAAACACCACAGGGTTTCATGGGCAGCATAGTGGTTAGGCCACATTCTCAAAATATCCTCTTTTTGCTCCCTTCTGTGGTAGTATTAGAAATCTAACACCCCCTCATCCTTCTCCAGAGCTCTATCTCTGGGTTTAGAAAGGTTTTAGGGGGTCTGGAGTGATAGAACAGCTAGTAGGATGTTTGCCTTGCATGCGGCTGACCCAGATTGAATCCCCAGCACCCCATATGATCCCTTGAGTCTGCCAGGAATGATCCCTGAGCTCTATCAATGTGTCCCTTTTTGTTTTCAAGTATTCCTCTAATGGGAAAAATATCCCTGGGGAGGGCAACAATGATAGCGAATCAGAGTGAAAATCAGATGGAATCAGACTCACAGCACAGTCAAGAGGAGCTGAGCTACCTACACCCGGTTAAGATCTGAAGATAAACTCTGGAGTGCTCTTGCTTTCGCCCAAATTCAGTACTCCCTGACATCCAAGAGGCCTTATTTGGACAGCCTTGGCTCCCGAATAGTGAGCCTGTATACAGCCACAGTCTGGCAGAGAGGCTCCTCAGGATGCTAGGGGTCTGAGGGGCAGGACAGGTGGGTAGCATCTCCCAGTGTGTTTCAAACTCAGGTTGAGACTCCAACTCTCTAACCCCAAAGTCCCAACCTTGAAGTCTGAACTTCGACCTGTGACACAAGCAGTGCCTTGGCGTCATTAGATATCAACCTGGAACTAGAACCTGTGCCTGATTCATCCAGGAAGCTGAATCCAGGCAAAACAAACATAGCTAAACAGTTCCTGCCAGCCTAACCAGCGCTGTGAGAGGTTGTTTGGCAAACAGACAGTAACTGTTTGCTTTGTCCTCCAGATTCCTGCATTCCTTTCACTCTGCCTGTCTCTGGGTTGGGAGTTTTCTGGGGCTTTTCCCGCTAATATGAGAAAGCGTTTTTATTTTTTAAGACCTTTTTCCCTCCCCCTCTGTGAAAGTAATTCCTGAGAAGGAGATGTGGCATTCAAAGGAATACAGTAGGAACCGATAGAGGAGTTCAGCCGTTTCTAGGAGGGAAGACAGAAGAGGGAACTGATATGGATTGGGGATTAGATGGAACAAAGGGTAGAGATTTCTGGGTCTCCTGCATCTTTCTGCCCCTCCTCCCGGTCCCCTGGGGAGCCACCTGTTCCATAGTTTAGTTCTCAAACTCCAGCTTAAACTCACTTTTTTCTTTCATGGTGAGTTTATTGTTTGGGGCACTAATTGGTGGACACCCATGACCATTTCATCTGGCTTCAAGTCCCCTCCCTCCCGGCTTTCTAATAAGAACGCGAAATAGCGTGGGAATCCCCCAGCAGAGGAAGCAACGGTGCGGCTTTAAGAGGAAGGGCGGGGGGACGAGGGCTCTGACTCAGACAAGCCTGCCATTGGCTGCTGGAGGGGATCCCACCGCCGGGATTGGCCGCGGCAGAGCCCGCCTCCTCCTGCGATTGGCTCCGACAGAGCGATATAAGGCGCTGGCTCGGCCTCCCGTTCCGCTGGAGCGAGCCGGCTGGGCATCGTGCAGAGGCGGCCGCCCCGCCGCTCCTGGCGCAGTCCGCACGCCTCCGACTCGGGTTCAAGTCTCGCAGGTGCTGCAGCCATGAAGGAGAGACGGGCCCCGCAGCCGGTCGTCGCCAGGTGTAAGCTGGTCCTGGTGGGGGATGTGCAGTGCGGGAAGACGGCGATGTTACAGGTGTTGGCCAAGGACTGCTACCCGGAGGTGAGCGCCACCGCCCGCCCGCCGCTCCTCTCCCCTGCCGGCCCGGGGCGCACCCCCGCCCGCCCGCCCGCCCGCCCGGGGAAGCGTCTCCCTCCCGAGCCCCGGCCGCGGGCTGGCTGGAGGAGCGCCTTCCCCCGAGACCTGTTCCACTTCTGCCCGCCAGCCTGGCTCCTCCTCGCAGCTTCCCCAGAAGCCCCAATCAGATGCCCTCCTCGCTCTCGGGAGAGGGGACGGGGACACCCGAGAGGATGGGGTTTCTTCTTGACGCAGTACCTGCTGGGCCCCTGTCCTCCTCCCAAGTCGGTCCTCGCAGGCCTGCAGGGATCAGGGGCTCGCAGGGAGAAGATCCAGGCTAGACTTGGTCTGTGGCTCTGAAACTGGGTGACCCCCCACCCTCCAGATCTGGGGGGGGGGCGAAAGGAATGCAAGTGTATCCCCACACACCTAGTTGCTGGGGGGCTGCACCCTGGCTGGAAGTCGGTCTTGGTCCCCGTTGACTCATGTGACTTCCCTGCCCCAAGCATCCCCCCTCCGCTGCTGCCACGTTCGCCTCTCACTAGACCGAGTGGCCCAGTGGGTAGCCAGCAGCAGCTGAGGGTTAAGAGGGGGCCGGTGGGGCTGAGTACTTCCTGTCTCCTTTCAGACCTATGTGCCCACGGTGTTTGAGAACTACACAGCCTGCTTGGAGACGGAGGATCAAAGAGTGGAGCTTAGCCTCTGGGACACCTCAGGTAAGAGTCCTGGCTCCAGACACCCCCCCCCCCCACACACACACACCCCAGTAGTCCCAGACCTCTCCTGGTCTGATGCAGCTGCTTTTAGAAACACTTTCCCCCTTGACTGGGGAGAAGGACTATGAGAAGGACCAAAGAAGGGGACCTGAAATTTCCTTGGCTGGGACTAGAGAAGGGGCTGGGTCAACTCAGTCTACTGACTGGTCGAGTAGTACAGAGTGGCTGAGCCCAAGAAGTCACCAATTTCTCTGCCTCTAGCTCCATCTCCCAGAGAGCTGGGATGGGGAGGCGAATGAACCCACGAATACTAATGGGATGGGGGGAGTCAGAGAAGGTGCCTCCATTTCCATTCCTGGCCACCCGACATGCTCCCCACCCCACCCCCCGAATTGATTGCCCAGAGAATTGCCACATGAGAGGACAGAGACACGATTGCTGGAGGCAGCTGTTTTGAGGGAGGGTTGTTCGGCTCAGTTTTCTCTCCTGTATCCTAACTCCACCGCCGCTGTGCTCTGCTGCAGCCGGGCTCCACTCGTCACATGCTGCGGCTCAGAGGCTCAGCGATGCATCGCCCATGTTTTGGAGGTTGGGGAGATGGCTTCATATAGCGCACTTCCATCGTGGGTGGGAGTGGCAGGGGATATGTTGGCTCCAACCATTGCCCCTCACCCCCAGCTCCCCATACTGGATCGCAGCAGAAGATGCCCTGTCTTTCTGGAATGTGGAAAGCAACGTATTTCCCCAGCCTTTCAGCCTAACCCCTACAGGCTAAACTGACCTCGGCTTTGATTCTGGCTCCCTTCTGTGACCCCTTTTCCCCCAATCATGATCAGAGATTGGCCTTAGAGTGATGATTAAGGAATAAAGACTAGGAATCGGAGAAAGAAAAGAAAAACCCACTCCTCTCCAAAAAAAAAAAATATGATATTCAGGCTGTTTAAAGAGGAGCTGAAAATCACAGGGGCTCCTGACACGTATAACAAAAATGCCAGCCTGCCCCTCCGAAGAATGGTGCCTCCCACGATTCAGTTTTGAAAAGACGGGAATGGGTCAGGGAAATGGATAAGCAGAGAACGAGACTTCTCTTTCTCCCCCCACCACAGCCAAGCCCAAAACCCAAGCCCAAATTCCTCAACCTGGTATGTCTTCCACTGCGGTCCGGCGGTTGGGAGGCGGCTCTGGTTCCCGGGCTGTGCCATGCTGGCTCGGCTGCCTGGAATGCAGCGTGGCTTGCATGACTTATGGTTTTTCGCCCGCTCGCTCGCTCCATCCTGCCTACCTTTCCATCTTCGCAGAATCTTCCTGCAGCTGCGCTCTCTTTTCCCTCCCCTGCCCCCAAATGCCACCACCCCACTACTTCCCCCACCCCCACCCCCACCCTCATCAGAATGCAGCCCTGAAATCCCAACCCAGATTGCTGAAAACCAGCAAGGGTGGTCTCTGTTCCCCACGTTGCATTCCATCCCCCCCATCTTAAAGGACACAGGTTCTCAGTACCCCACAAACTCCCTCTTTCAAAGTAGGTGCGTATAAGGAGGAGGAAGTGGTCAGGGGGATGTGGGGGGGCTTCCCCACCCCCAGGGCTTTCATTCTTCACTTGTATGCTTTAGGGGCGGAGAGGAGAGGGAGGGCCTGGAGCCCCGGCCCCCTTGGTGATGCGCAGTGACAGTGTTCTCTGTTCCCTGGCGCTGCAGAGCTGAGGCTGAGACCCCACCTCAGGGAGGGGATGGGGGCGGGCCGCAATCCTAACTCCCCTTTTCTCCTTTTTTTTACAACCAACCCCCCCCCAGCTTGGATTCCCCCCAGTTTCCATGGTGATTGCAATGAAGGGAGAGGGGCTGCTTGCTATTCTGAGCACGAATTGTCTGGGTTCCAAATCTGCTACTGTTTCTTCTCTGGGCTGGCACGGGGGGTGGGGGGGTCCAGGCTTGCCCCGGTATTCACTCAGGTGGACCACCTGGGTCTGCCCTGATCACGCCCCTCCTGAGAAAGGGCACAGTGAAGCCTTGTGATCCCTAGGTACTGGCGCTGCTGTCTTTAAGTGCCTCCGATGATCTTAGCATGATCTTAGGCGGATGGGGCAACAGCTTCCCTTTCACCCATTTCAGTGTAAGCCCATTTGCGGGGGAGGAGGAGGACCCCAAATCCCTGTCAGCTCTTCCCGTTCTGACCCCTAGGAAGAGAAGCATACCGCCAGTTATGTAACAGGCAGGTCTGATTCTTCCTTGGGAAGCCCCTGGAGCAGAAGCAGGGAGCAGAGGTTGGGTGAGCAGGGGAGGAGGCGCCTTCCTCTGGCATAGTGTGACCTTAAATTAATCCTGATGGGCACCCACAAAGCGACCACCCCCTTATTTTGCCTAGTTTCCCCTTTTTGAGACTAAGGAAGATGGTCTTCTTGGACTGCTGCCTGGTAGGGGGGGTCGATCCCAGGCTGCAGCATCTCCCCCTGGGAAGTGGGGCGACCAGTCTAAGGGACCCACACTTCTGTTCTCTGGGGTCTTTGGAGGCATTCGCAATAGCTCACCACCAGCTCTTTTTTCCTTCTGCCAGGATCTCCCTACTATGACAATGTGCGTCCACTCTGCTACAGCGACTCGGATGCGGTATTACTGTGCTTTGATATCAGCCGTCCGGAGACAGTGGACAGTGCACTCAAGAAGGTAGGGGTGGGTAAATGCTATGATATTTCATAGCCTAAGAACAAAAGGAGTCCCGGGACCTTGCCTTCATAGCCCCCTGGGTAACAGGAAGAAACGGGCTGGGCAAGGAAGAACTGACCCAAGGCCAGACCACTAGCTTGGTTCTGAGACTGGCATTCAGCTCCCCTGTCCACTCTGCTCCTGCCCTTCCACTCTCCTGTTCGGCTCTGCCAGAAACCAGAGAGAGAGAGAGAGAGAGAGAGAGAGGCATTGAAGATTCAGGAAGTCGAGGCTTGAGAGTCCGATAACCCTTTGACACCCAGATGTCACTCCCTACTGAGTCCCAGGATGCCTTGTGCATCTAGCCCTGTTTTCCAGAAAGCTCTGGGATTATTTCCTTGGCTGCTTCTTGTCATTCTGGTCTTGCACAGCTCATTGGACTGGGTTAGGGTCCAGATCCCGGCTGGTCTGCTTGGCAGAGACTGGAAGGAGACTTGCCCTGTGTCTCTGGTGGCTGTGTGGTTGAGCAGCCTCTTGGGCAGCATTCCTGTGGCCCCAGAAGCCTTGTGTGCAGGAAGATGATGTAATTAGTGCAGTGGTGGCGTTATGAGTCAGAGCAGTACTGGCAGGCAAGAAGTTGGATGTTGTGTTCTCCTGGTACCTGTCAGTCTGACTCTCCTTCCTTTTCTTTTCTTCTTGTACGGTTCTTCAGTGGAGGACGGAAATCCTGGATTATTGTCCCAGTACCCGTGTTTTGCTTATTGGATGCAAGACAGATCTACGAACAGACCTGAGTACTCTGATGGAGCTATCCCACCAGAAACAGGCACCGATCTCCTATGAACAGGTGTGTGTGTGTGTGTGTGTGTGTGTGTGTGTGTGTATGTAGGGGGGCTGGTTTCTGGGTATGGGCTGGGCAAGGCTCTCGGCAGACTTGACATGTGACCCTTGGTGGGTAGGGGATGTTTTGGGCACAGCTGTCATCAGCAAACTGATTACCAGGCTAGAGGTGGTAGGTTCCCGTTTGCTCTGATTTATGCTATTGGTTGACAGGTGAGCTGTTCCCACCTGTGCCCCCCCCCCCCCCCCATATTGCTTTCTGTGGATCCTCTGCATTAGAACCTCCAGAGGAGAATCATCAGGATTCTTGATTCCAAACCTAGAGTCACTGGGATGAAGAGCAGAGCTACATTTTAATGGAGTCCCTGAGTGGTGTCTTATGCTTATGGGAGTCTTTTAAACCCATGCGACACATTTGAGTCAACTGGGGAGCTCTTAAAATACTGATGCTGGGGCTGGTGCGATAGCACAGCGGGTCGGATGTTTGCCTTGCATGCGGCCGACTTGGGTTCGAATCCCAGCATTCCATATGGTCCCCTGAGCACCGCCAGGAGTAATTCCTGAGTACAGAGCCAGGAGTAACCCCTGAGCATTGCCGGGAATGACCCAAAAAGAAAAAAAAATACTGATGCTTTGGGGACTGGAGCGATAGCCCAGCGGGTAGGGCATTTGCCTTGCATGCGGCCGACTCAACCGATCCAGGTTCGATTCCTCCGCCCCTCTCTGAGAGCCTGGCAAGCTACCGAGAGCAGAGAGTATCTCGCCCGCATAACGTATTTGATATGCCAAACACAGTAACAAGAAGTCTCACAATGGAGACGTTCCTGGGCCCGCTCAAGCAAATTGATGAGTAACGGGAGGACAGTGCTACTGATGCTTTGGGTCAGAGACATGGCTCAATGGGCTGAGCATACACTCCACATGCAGGAGATCTGGGTTTGATCCCTGGCACCACATAGTCCCCAAGCACTGCTGAGAGTGACCGCCCCCCGCCCCCCCCCCCACACACACACCAGGCATTGAGCCAGTAACAGACTCTGAGCACTACTGGGTGTGGTCCCCAAACAAGTAAGACTTCCCCTGCAGAAAATAATTAGCAGAGGGTGATGCTGGGTCCCATTTGGAGTATCCCTGGGGAGTGACCCTAAACAAACAAAGGTGTGTTGTTAAGACGTTTTGGAGGGTTGCACTAATGACCTGACTGCTCCCCCATCCCCCTGTAGGGCTGTGCGATAGCCAAGCAGCTGGGTGCGGAAATTTACCTGGAAGGCTCAGCTTTTACCTCAGAAAAGAGCGTCCACAGCATCTTCCGGACGGCGTCCATGGTGTGTCTGAATAAGCCCAGCCCGGTGCCCCAAAGGAGCCCAGTGCGAAGCCTCTCCAAGCGGCTGCTCCACCTCCCTAGTCGATCTGAACTCATCTCTTCCACCTTCAAGAAGGAGAAAGCCAAAAGCTGTTCCATCATGTGAAGTGGGGGCCGGAGGGGAAGGCCACCTCCCACCTCCTCCCGCGGGGAGTGGAGGCACGGGGAGGGGGAGGAGGAGACCGTTTAAGACACTGGACTTGAGTTTTTCAGATGGCCACAGTGAGGGCTTGGAAGGAGACAGGAGTGGGACAAGGAAGGCGCCAGGCCCGGCTCGAAGAGCTAACGCCGAGAAGGAACCATCACACCCCACGCCAGGCGCTAGGTGGTGGAGGGGTCAGCTGCCCCTGTGCCCCCTACTCTGGAGGAAGGGAAGGTGTGGGGGGACGGAGGCCTGCAGGAACCTCACCTTCAGCGTCACGCCTCTTCCACACAGCGTTTGCACACGGGCCCCGGGACTTGAAGGACCCGGACCCCTTTCTTCCCCAGCGGGATGGCGAGTGGGGAAGCCCACAGGCATCTCCCCTGGGCGCGGAGCCCGGCGATTCACCGTGGAAAGCAGCCGGGCAGGAGCTGGCCAGAGCTTGTGGCAAGGAAAGTCCATCTCTGCACAACCCATGCCTCATGGAGCGGTGATGTCACGCATCTCCATGCTTCTCGCCTGAGTCCCAGGTCCACGCGAGATGGCCAGAACCCCGTCTCTCGTGTGTGGGGGGTAGTGGTGCCTCGGGGGGTAGGGCTGAGCAGGGGTCACCAGGCTTTTCTGCCCCTTAGGCAGTACGAATGGCGTTTGTTTTATAGACTCTTGTCTTTGGAATGGGGGAGTATTTCAATCTGTTATATGTTCTGTGTTTAAAGAAGAAAAACTATTTATTAATGAAAAATATAATGCATATAAAGCTCACTGCTTCTTTGATCATTTCTTTGGGTGGAGGTGGGGGGTTGAGCTATGCCTGGCTGTGCTCAGGGCGTATTTCTGGATCTGTGCTCAGGAATCACTCCTGGCAGTGCTTGGGGGACCATATGGGGTGCCTGGGATCGACCCCTAGTTTGACCATGTGCAAGGCAAATTCCCTATCCCCTGTACTACAACGCAGGCCCCAGCTCACTGTTTCTTAGATTTTTTTTCTGTTTCCTTTGAGGGGAAAATAGCCCTGTGGCACTTAGAGGAGACTGCAGCAGGGCTGCCCCGCCACTTCCCCACACCTCCAACAGGGGTCTCCTCCTACCCCGGCCCTGTCTTTGTCCCCAACTCCAACCAAGTCCGACTCAGCCAGTGAAGATGTCCTTAGCCCTAACATAGGTTTCTCTCAACCTTGGAACTAGTGATATATATATATTTTTTAGATTTACAAATTTTTGTGCTTGGATTTCAATTATACAATGATCAAATACTCATCCCTCCACCAGTGCCCATTTTCCACCACCATGGTGATATTTTTGCCTAGATAATGCCTCACTGTGGGGAGTTGTGTCACTGAGGAAGATTAATAGCATCCCTGGCCTCCATTTGCTCTTAGTACCACTACCAACAACGTCTTCACATACTGCTAAACATCCCTTGGGAGCAAAACTCACTCTGTGATGAGAACTGTCGCCACAGAGTCTGGAGGAGAAAGGTCAGATTGGGAAAGGTCATCAGGAGCAGATCCAAGCTGCTGAGAGAAGAATCCCTCCAGAAGAGGGACTGACTGACCCACTGCTGGGGAGAGGAACCCAGGGCTCTGCCACTCTCTGAGACCAAGGAGAGCTGATGTCTCGGGCTTTCTTGCTCTCTAATTCCTTTGCCTGTTGCTAGTGGCTCCCCTGTCTTTTCATTCCTGCTCTTTAATGACCTGAAACTCTCTTTTCTCTCCATTTCACAATATACTGGATATAAAATGTTATTACAGGGCCAGAGTGATAGATAGCACAGTGGGGAGGATGTTTGCCTTGCATGTGGCCGACCTGGGTTCAATTCCTGGCATCCCATATGGTTCCCCAAGCACTGCCAGGAATGATTCCTGAGTGCAGAGCCAGGAGTAACCCCTGAGCATCACTGGATGTGACCCAAAAAGCAAAAAGAAAAGGTTATTACGTGGGCCAGAAAAAAAAAAGGCTATTACATGGGCCAGACTCGGCTCAGAACACTGGTCTTCCATGAGTGAAGCTGCTGGTTTATTCCTTGACATTGCAGCCCTCTGTGCTATGCAACAAAGTGTGTATGACCATCTCCATTCCCGCATGGCAATGCAGAAATCAAAAGGGAAGAGAAGGGGAAAAATAATTTTTCTAAAAGCCATTGAGTATTGAGTAATTATTATATGATTGACACTATGTGGAGAGGTTTATTTATCACACTGAGTATCATAAATTATGATAGCTAACATTTGATTTTTTTTTTTTTTGCTTTTTGGGTTACACCCGACAATGCACTGGGGTTTCTCTTGGCTCTGCACTCAGGAATTACCCCTGGCAGTGCTCAGGGGACCATATGGGATGCTGGGAATCGAACCCGGGTCGGCAGTATGCAAGGCAAACGTCCTACTTGCTGTGCTATTGCTCCAGCCCCACATTTGATGTTTTCTATGGGTGAAGGATGCTAATGAATTAATTAAGCACTGCACTGCACTGTCCTCCCATTGTTCATCGATTTGCTCGAGCGAGCACCAGTAACATCTCACAACAAATTGTGAGACTTGGTGTTACTGTGTTTGGCATATTGAATACGTCACGGGTAGCTTGCCAGGCTTTGCCTTGCGGGCAAGATACTCTCAGTAGCTTGCCGGGCTCTCCGAGAGGGGCAGAGGAATCGAACTCGGGTTGGCCATGTTGGCTGCGTGCAAGGCAAATGCCCTCCCCGCTGTGCTACCGCTCCAGCCCAGTGAGATAATTATGTGATTAATACCTGTTACAACTTTGGGGTGTTACATACCTCATTTTATAAACAGCAGAACAGATCCAGAGAGATTAGTTAGGAGAGATTGGTCATCACTAGAGAGCGATCGAATCTGGATACAAAACTTGACAACCTGGTTCTAGGACATGTATTTTACTGTTTTTTTCTTTTTAAGACTACTCTTTTTGTGTGTGTGTGTGTGTGTGTGTGTTTGTGTGTGTGTGTGTGTGTGTGTGTGTGTGTGTTTTAGGTCATACCCGGCAATGCACAGGGGTTACTCCTGGCTCATGCATTCAGGAATTACTCCTGGTGGTGCTTGAGGGACCATGTATTTCATGTATTTTTTAACTGCTATGTTAGCCTATCTCTGGTGATGGCCATGGATCTGTTTTATTTATTTATTTAGGATTTTGGAGGGGTCACACCCAGCGGTGCTCAGGGGTAACTCCTGGCTTCGCACTCAGGAGTCACTCCTGGCAGTGTTCAGGGGACCATAGGCATGCCAGGAATTGAACCCCGGTTGGCTGCATGCAAGGCAAACACCCTACCCACTATACTATTGTTTCAGCCCTGCACATGTTTTATGTTTATTTAGCCAATTCTGATGGTGTTTGGGTGCTACTTCTGGCATTGTACTTGGGGGTCACTCCTGGCAATGATCAGATGACCATGTGGTGCTGAGACTTGAACTTGGTTCTCCGGCATGCAATGTGTGCACTCAGCCCATTGAGTGTATCCCTGGCCCTCATTTTCTGTACTTTCTAAAGGAGGAAATTATATAAATATCATGATATCAGGAGCTGGAGTGATAGTACAGCATGCAGGCTGTGTGCCTTGCATATTGCCAACCTGGGTTCGATCCCTGGCATCCCGTATGGTCTCCTAAGGCTGCCAGGAGTGATGCCTGAGTTCAAAACTGGGAGTAAGTTACCCGAGCACCTCCAGGTATGTCCCCAAAATAAAAAAAAATAATGAAATCATACTTCTAGTAAGTAATCAAACCAGAATTTAAACTGGGTCTCAGTGTTAACAATCATCTTGTGGACCTCTTCCTGCAGACCATGCTGAGCCCAAAGTTTGTCTGTGATTCTCACTGGACAGCAGTTCGTCTGCCTACATCACTGAACATACGTTAGTGAAGGAACTAGAAGACTGTGAGATGGCAAAATGATTAGGATGCATGTAACAACATGTGCTCAACCTGGATTTTACTCCTAGCACCATACCTCATGGTTCTCTGAGCATTAGCTGGCACAGCCCTGGAGATCCCTTACCACTGGGTGTGGTCCCAAGAGACCCCAGAGTACTGCAGCTGGCCTGTGTAATTCTTGTCACTATGGGGCCTGAACAGTATCACATCCTGAGGCCCTGGCATTGAACCACTGGCGCAGTTAGCCAAGTATCAATGTGCATGATCCCTGAGCATCTCTTGGAAGGCCCCTACCAAAGCCAAAATAAAACTAGCAATCAAGGCAATGATAATTCTTTGAGCACACGTAAGAGAGTTATGCACAAGTCTTAGGGCAACTCTATAGACTTGGACAAGCTTCATCATACTTTGGGGCTTTATTTTTAAAGCTGATAAGTTCCGGGTGGGGCATATGGTTCAGCACCTGAGAAAAAACCTGAGTTTAGTCTCTGGCACGAAACAAAACCAAACTAAACCAGACTGAACCAGGCCAATGCTGGTGAATTTCACGCTATGTAATCATTGTTGAGCACCCATGGCTTATGTGTGTGTGATCCCTGGTCATTGGCACCAGCAACAAGAGAAAGAGATTAAAAGAAAAAGGGGGGGGTGAGGAGAGAGAGAGAGAGAGAGATGGCAAATAATGGTGTCCTAGAAATAGGGAAAAAGTGTGAATTCTGAAGTTAAATGAACCTGGAGTTGAATCCTGGCTTCATTCTTTTACCTATGTGGACTTTGAAAGAATTGTTCGTCTTTTTGGACCACAATCTGATTTATCAGTAAAATGAAGAAAACACCCATCTTATACTATTAGGGGAACTAAGTAAAATAAGTGTCCAGCACAGGGATGGGCATTTAGAAAATTGTCAGGTAACAGTAGCTACTTTTGCATATTCAATTTATCCCTTTAGGCTTAGTGGGGATTCTGTCCTGTGAGTGGAGCGCCCTCCAGTGTTCCACAAGTGAATTACAACAAGGAGATGGCAGACTTTTTTTCTGTTCTCAGAATAGAGTGCAGAAATGTGCCTCTCCCAGGGTTACTTTGAGCCTTCTACCTGATGCTCAGGGCTGCAGGATTATTTTGGTCTATTGCAAGGTTCGATCTGAGGAGAAAACCTGGAGAGAGAGAAAAGCTGATGCCCCTCCAACATGCCATCCCCCCAACACTCAATATTCTTTCTTGTGTCTGTCATCTTAGAAGCTTAAAGTTTTGTTTTCTGATTTGTTTTGATAGGGAGGTACCAGAAGATTATTAAGTCTAAATCCAAAGAGAAACAACGTGATTTGGGGATGAAAAGCTGAGTAGGAGAATAAAGAAAGGGACTAGAAGAAGAAACACTATAATGCTAGTTCACCACCTAGTCAGATTTCAAAAGGCTATGATGCAGTCGGGATGCCAGTAAGATGTTGAAACACATGCTACATCTCAGTGATCTTTCTAGAACAATATTCCCCAACACACTGTCCACTATTGGTTACCAGGTATAGACAGGTTGAAAACCATAATGACATTCCAATATGGAGCACTCCATTTGGAAGACATCAAACAAGATGGGAAAATAACAGAGAAACCAGCTAAGCCCATTAAACAGAAACAATAATACAGAAGGCTCAACTAACAACAGTTTAGTAAACCCTCAGATAAGGACTTAATAACTCCATGGTGAGGTGTAAGTATTTTCACAAATTTCCTTTTTACTTTGGACAACCTGGCAGGCCACCGAATGTAGCCTGCCCACCCGGCAGAGTCTGGCAAACTCCCCGTGGGGTACCCAATATGCCAAATACCAGTAACAATGATGGGTCTCATTCTCCTAGCCCTGAAAGAGCTTT